GATGACATCCGAAGTAAGCTTCGGCTTGCCAAAGATGTAAAGATGGTGCGCGTTACCAATGCCCGTCCTAATATCGCACTGTCTGTCCGAACCATGAAGTATTCTAATGAATCGAAGGCGGACTTACGGTTCCTCATTCCAGCGAAAGCTACCAAGGCTGAAGACATCCCAATGACGATTGTGTATTGTAACGAGCGGATCACCACTGAGGACTGTAAGGACTGCTTACAAGATTGGGCAGAGGCACTCGGTATTCCGAAACAGTGTGTGGCTTTTTACCATGCGCATGTTGGTGAGAAACGGAAGCGTGAGCTGGAAGAGTTGCAGAGACTTGGTTTACTTCGGATTTTATTTGCCACAGAGGCGCTCGGAATGGTGCGCGCCTAATTCTTTTTATTTTTAGTATGCCGCTGATCAAATAAAATACAGGGTTGTGACCTTCGAAACATTGTTCGAGTAGTCCTTTGGGGTCTACCCTCGACATTCTGTGCCTTGGTTCAGAGGGCAGGACGCGCCGGACGTGATCTGTCGATCCCAAGTGAAGCTATACTGATTGTACCTCCAAGTGTCCTCAAGGACGAGATTTCCGAAGAACATGTCAGTCAAACAGTAGAGCGGGAGGCACTGGATGGGGAGTCACTCAACCAGGAAATGACCGAGGCTGATGCACAGGTCATTGCTCAAGTTCTCGATGAAGAGGGTGTTAGAGTTGCTGCAGACGTCTCGGAAGGCGAGCAGGAAGTTAACGCCAGCACGAAGGCAAAAGGTAAAAGAAAAAAAAAGTTTGGGAAGGACACAAATATCCGTGAAGCTCGCTCTCTCTCTCTTTTCGTGAAGACAACCAAATGCCGACGGATTATCTGGGACAAGTTCTTCGAGAATGACAAGAAACGTGAGTCGGGTCTTGGTCGGGTCTTCATTTAATGAACCACCAGATTTATTTTTCATTTAGTCCCCCTTATCTATGGCATCACCACTCTTTACCAGCCGATTATCGGTATGCGCTGCTGTGACAATTGCACGCCACACCTCTTTCCTGTCGAGAAGGTGGTTGTCCAGCAGACATCTGGTCTGACACGAGGCAAGAAAAGGAAGGTCGCGAAAGATGAACAGAATTACATTCGCGAGGAATTGATGGAATGGCGGGATGAAGTCTTGGTTGAACAATTCTATGGATCGGACACCGCTCTCTCGGGGAGGACGCTGTTAGGGGATGACATCATTGAAAAACTTGCGACTTGCGGTGAGCGCATTTGGAGTTATTCTAATCTTCGTCGACGTGCACGATGGGCCTTTGGACATGACACATTGACAGAGTCTCCCAACGAATGGGGCCATGCACTTCTCGCAACATTGGCAAGAATCTATACCACATTGGAGGTTGACGAGGAAGCACGCCGTGTAGAGTTGGAATTTGAAGAGATGTCGAGAGAAGCAGTGGAAAAAGAAATCCAAGCGGAGAAGGAGAGAGTGCAGAAAATCATGGAAGGCGCGCGCGAGCAAACTCGGAGGAGACAAGAATATTTACGAAATACTCAGGCCGAATGGCAGATTCAAACACCTACTGACTTCGACATCTTGTAGAATATTCGAACAGATCTTATTCATATAAAGAAAGTTCATCGACTACCTCACGGACCATTGAAATATAATCCTCAGCGTTGGTCCCTAATGGAAACTCTTCCTCGTCCAGCGACAGGTCATCCAATTCAAGTCCTTTATCAGCGCAGAAATCATACTCGTCACTGGCAACCTCATCACCCTCGAGATCAGAGCTCTCAGCCTCATGATCCTCAGCCACGCCTAGCTCTGGTACCCCACTATTTGTCGCGTCAATTTTAGTGTACGTAAAGTTTCGAAAAGCACCTGGTTTGTTTGCATACTCGGAACCAACTGCGATAAGATCGCGCGACTCCATGACATCGTCTCCATGCTCACGCTCTGGCCAGTATGTTTGGATGCGTTGCGACTCGAGGTAATCGCGGAGAGTTTGGATATCTGTTGCGGTCGAGGGGCTAGTGTGATTTATACTGTTAAATGGCGTCTGGAACTCAGTCTGGACCTTTCGGATCACATCACGTAGAGCAAATATCGAGACGGAAACCATCGAGAGCCATGTCCAGGTTCGATTTGATCCCTTAGCATTGTATATAATCTAGCATTTGATACTTAGCTATCAATGTGAAGTATTTGGAGGGAGAAACGCGAACCTTGGCCCAGAAATTCAAGTGTTCTTCAAGGAGGTCCATCTCCTTGAAGCGATTTGGCATTCCACTTAGATTCGCAAGCCAATTCATTAACCATGCTTCTCTAGACTGACAATAAACCAATGAAGATGTAAATAAGTTCGCAACAGGACGCACCGAAGCTTACAATCCATCCGTTTCAGCCGAACGACCATAGCAAATAGCGCATCCGCATACTTGGGGGTTTTTCCAGTCCCACGGAATGCAAGCAGAGAGTGGGTGATAACGTCCAGGACAGCGCCGACGTCGCCACGTTTGATGGCATATTTGAGCTGGCGGAGGTACAGAGAGTCACGGTTGAAGAGGCAGATATTTTCGAGGCACGCGTCTCGCTTTGCGGGCTTCGCACGGCGCAGGCGGGCCACACGACGGCCAGAGCAAAGCTGATCTAGGACTTGTTTTGCGACATCGTGAACGTCGTCGACTGACTTGATATTCGCGACCCAGTTGTCGAGCGTCTCCTTTCCGCAGTAGATCCGAAACCCATCGAGAATGTTGGCAGGAAGTGTGAGATTGAGCATGAGCTCGTAGACTGGACGAAATGGAGGGAGCGATTTCGCTTTCCATCCGGCAGTGATGGGTTTACGACCGAGGAGGGTATTAACCTTCCAGAGCGACCATGGGGATTTCGCATTCGGCTTGCCCCAAAACTCGTTCGCGACCATCCGCGTGTGCGAGAATTTGATGTGTAGCAGGCCTTCTTGACCCTCCGTGTATAATCCTACATTGTCCAAGAAGTCGGAGTCGTCTCGACGAAGGCCACATGCCTAAATAGCATTGAGTTAGTAGTGAAATGTACTATAGGAATAAACAGAGTACCTTATCGAGTAACGAGAGGCTAAGCTGGTCACCCGCACATATAATGATTCCATGTTTCTTGATGTCGTCCTCTGTAAGCCGGAGCGAGTCACGAAGGATAGTGTTGAGAACACTCAGCGTTCCTTCTAGGCTCGACTCGTCGATATGCATCGCGGGAAGAGGATATTGCTCGGTCTTGTGGACTGGAATCTGAAGAACGGATGGCGCTGGCTTAATGGCACTGCCAAGCCATTTTCGGAGTGCAGGGAAGTGATCGTAGAGGATGTCTTCGATGTGCCAGAACTGCGCAGACTGGACACGAGCAGCTTCATCCCGTGAGGGTACGAGATCATCGGGTTGGATGTCAAGGACAGGGTTTCGGCGCTCGCGTTTGGGCTTTAAATCGATGGGTAGGCCTCCATATTCGACGCCGTAGAGAGGAACAAGTGTCGCAGTCGTTCCATTATCAAAATGGTCCTTGGAATCGTGTCGTTGCTCGCTGACCTTGAATGCGATGTTCAGGTTATCCCAGATAACCATGAAGGCCTGGGTGTGGGCAATCTTCCTCGTCTCCTCGAGGCGTTCGAGTCCGAGTTTCTTGAGCTTCGCGATGGCTTGAGTATACGACAGGGAGATGCCGGCATGATTTAAGACGTCGAAGAGGGAACGGGACGTGCCACATGCAAGAAAATACATGCACATCGTCGTTTGGAACTCGCTAGCATGGTCGTTGCGCGATTTGGCTAACATACAGAGGGTCGACGCAAGAATCTGCGTCAAAAATCAGTTGGATGCTTGTGGAGGAAGTACAAAAGCATGCACTCACCAATTCACGGTCTTTTCGTGGTGATTCTTCTGATCCACCTGGGAAGCCAATCTGCCGAAGAACCTTGCAGGTAGTGGGAGCAAGTGATTCAGCATCTGCGAGAAACTGACGGATCGAAAAGTCGTGCAAGATGGCGGTGACAGAAGCGCCTTTGCGAGGCTTGAAGTGATTTGAGAGCGCGACACTTTCACGGTCGATGAGTTGGCGATGAGTAGAAAGGGCCCAGTCATTCAAGACTCCGGGCTCACGAATTTGGAAACCTTCAAGGATGAACTCGCCGTGGCTGGAAAGCATCTGAGAGACTTGGGAGGAAAGGGCGCGATCCTTGGTTCGTAGCAAGGCATCGATGAAGCTGAACAAAGTAGGGTATCCACGGGCACGTATGTCGCCGAGGGCACCTTGGAGCTTCGTGGCCGCTTCCTTTTGTCGTAGCTGCTCCTTCTCCCTGCGCCTTTTCGTTTCCTCCTCCTGGTTCCTCAACGCCTCTGCAGCCTCGCGTTCCCGTCGTTCCCGTCCTAACCGTTCAAGCTCCTCTTGCGTCACTTCTCGGACGACCTTCCGTCGTTTGGGTACAGGTGTATGGCCATCAACAAAGCCTGTGAAGTTCACGGCACTGTTGAAGTTGACAGGCGTGGGTAGCGGCTGTAGAGGGACCCGAAAGATGTCTCGTGGGGTATGAGGGGTACGCGAGGATGTTGCGTGCTCGTTCTCGTCGACGGGCGCTCGCTTTCGAGGTGTTGCAGAGGGGGAGAACATGCCGATATGACGTCCTAGGTCGCTCGCGTCGCGTCGCGGATGCACGGGTGGTCGTGAATTTCCTTTCTGAGTCACTCAGTCGGACCTTGAAATCCCCATGTACTCGTTCCTGATGAAGTCCTACCAGTCGGCTATAGGTACAATACCGAACTATTGCCTCCGAGTTTCCATCCCGTTTTCAGAAAAAACCGTCCTCCGCCTATCTGAGTAAGTATTGTACCTAGAGACTGGTTTCGAGTCTAAACAAATTCAGAGTCCACTTTCGTGTTGGCCACTCTCTCGCATATATTCAGACATATCACTTTGGGCTCAAACTGCGATATATGTGAACCTTTCAGGAATGTGCTTTGCATTGGGCGTCAAAAAAAGTGTAATGGACACATTGGGAATTGAACCCAACACCTCTCGCAGACACTTGTTCATGCTAAGCGAGCGTGATAACCAACTACACCATGTGCCCCATGACATGTGAATGACCCCTGACTTTGAATATCAGAAGGCACTGTACTCGTAAAGATTATTGAAGGTACCTCACTGTTACCTATAACTTCGGGATTAAAGGAAGACTTCGGGCGAACTTCCTGCTGTGAATGTTTTCTCCGTTCCGATATTCCTTTTGAGGCTGTTTGCCAAACATCCATTTCCGGAAAGCACCCCGTGAGAGAATTCTTCTTGGACGCGCGTCGCGTTCAAACCAATTCCGTGCCATTGACAACGACCATGTCAGATTCCCAAGACTTCACTATCAAAGTACAATCCGAAGAAGCAAAGAAGAAGGAAAAGCCCCTCAGTGACAAGCCCGATTTCCAAGGCTCCTCCAAACTTTTGAAAGATGCAAAGCCAGACGACGAGAGCGAGGAACTGGTGCGTGATGTATATGCTCTGTGGATTCCGTGTCTTATTTACGCAATCCGTATAGTCGGAGGAGGACCAGGCTTTGAAAGAGCAGCTTGAAATGCTGGTTGAGCGGCTGAAGGTGCGATGCAATTCTCTGACCTTGAATAACCCGCGCTGACGCAATCTAACAGGAACCCAAGACGGAGCTGTATCGATCTGCTCTTGAGACGCTACGGACACTGATCAGAACCTCTACCTCTTCGATGACCTCAGTACCTAAACCCCTCAAATTCCTGCGACCCCATTATCCCGATCTCCAAGCTCTTTACGAAAAATGGCCACCATCGGAGGACAAGGTCAGTTATGTCCGGAATCTAGTGCGGCGCAACTTATCAAAATTCAGAGTCTCTTTGCCGATATCCTATCTGTTCTGGCGATGACCTATTCCGATACACAACCCAGAGGAACCCTTCGATATCGCCTTCTTTCTGCGTCTCTTCGACCTGCGGGTTCACCACTGGCAGATCCCGGAACCTGGGGTCACGAATACGTCCGTCATCTCGCAGCCGAGCTCGGAGAGGAATTTTCTTTCCGAGAAGAAGGAGGACTCGAGGAAACGAAAGATTCCGACAAGGCCACAGACTCCACTCAAGTTCAACTCCCTGGCACAATTGAAGATCTCCGTAGTTTGGCCAAGGAATGCGCGACTTTCCTACTAAACCATAACGCAGAGCCAGATGCGGTGGATCTGCTTGAAGAGATGGAGATTATCGACGAGATTACGAGTCTGGTAGACGACAACACATATGGACGCGTTTGCCAGTACATGATTCGGTAAGAGGTTCAATCTGCCCCATCATACACCCGAAAGCTGAAAGTCAACCTGAAGTATGGTAAATCTGCTCCCCCCTCCAGACGACGTTCTTTTCCTTCGCACTGCCCATGCGATATATGTCAAGCACTCTAAATTCCCGGAAGCACTCTCCCTCGCCATTCGTCTCAATGATCCGGAACTTGTCCGAGAAGACTTCAACACTCCCGCCAACCCGTAAGCCGCGTCGATTAGTTTGATTTATCAACTTTATGCTTATTCGCGATCTACAGCCTAATGAAACGTCAACTCGCATTCCTCATTGCTCGCGCCCAAATTCCAGTTGAATGGCTCCATCCGCCGTCGGCAGACGACGAAGAGACAGAAGAAGTGACATTCGAGTCGGATCTACAAGACTGCTTGTATAGCACCAAACTCAGTCAACACTTCCGCGACTTTGGGAAGGAGGTCGGGGTCGAGGATGCTAAAAGTCTGGAGGATGTCTACAAATCCCATCTCGAAAACACCAGTATGTACCCGTTGCGAAGTCCATTCAACGTTTTAACTGAGGTTATTGTATTGTACAGGGCCAGGCATTTCCGCCAATGTGGATTCTGCACGTGGAAATTTGGCGGGAACGTTCGTGAACGCGTTTGTTAATGCTGGTTTCGGAAACGACAAACTGATGGTCAATGCGGAAGAGGGCAACAGCTGGATCTATAAGAACAAGGATCACGGTACGATCGCCTTATTGCGGATGAACCCAACGTTCAAGCTCACACATGTCTTTTTGCAGGCATGATGAGCGCAGCTGCTTCTCTTGGTCTGAGTTTATTGTGGGACACCGATGTGGGTATCACCCACATCGATAAATACACGTATTCCGCCGAGGAGCATATCAAGGTGAGAAGATCTTATTGGCTCGACAAGAATTCAGTTGTGTTCAACTGATATGCTCTCCAGGCTGGCGCTTTGTTCGCGATCGGCACTCTGAACACTGGCGTGCGAACTGAAGTCGACTACGCTCTCAACCTGCTATCAGAACATACAGAAAACAAATCTGTCCCTCTGAAGACGAGTGCATTTATGGGCCTCGGCCTCGCCTACGCCGGATCGCATCGCGAAGAAGTTCTCGCCCTCCTCCTTCCACACGTCGCAGACCATACAATATCAATGGAAATTTCAAGTATGGCGGCGTTGGCTCTTGGGTTCGTATTCGCGGGAAGCAAACACGGAGACATTTCGGAAACTATCCTACAGTCACTGATGGAGAAGTACGAACGCGCCGACAAGTCACTGGACGAGAAGTGGGCCAAGTTTATGGTATTGGGATTGGGACTGTTGTATCTCGGTTTGTTCCCCCGCTACTCGCATTATCTGCCTTTTCTTTGACACGTACAATAGGCCTCCAGGACGCATCCGACGCGACAATCGAAACTCTCAAGGCCATTGAGCACCCGATATCGAAAACGGCTCAGATTTTGGTTGAGGCTTGCTCTTTTGCCGGCACCGGAAACGTCCTGAAAATCCAATCCATGCTTCACCACTGTGACGAACACGTGAACTCGAAGAAGGAAGATACAGATGATAAGAAGGACTCAAAAGACGATGGCAAGAAAGATGATACCTTCCAAGCCTTTGCTGTGATCGCCATTGCGTTGATTGCGATGGGTGAGGATATCGGCGCTGAAATGTCTCTCCGCCAATTCAACCACCTTGTACGTCAAAACACAAACACGCTCATCCCCCTTTTTCACCGAAGCCTGACCCTCATGTAGATGCATTACGGTGACCCTGTCATCCGCAAAGCCGTGCCTCTCGCCATCGGCCTCGTCAACGCGTCAAATCCTCAACTACCCATCCTCGATACCCTCTCCAAGTACAGCCATGACAACGACCTGCAAGTCGCCATCAACGCCATTTTCGCGATGGGACTCGTCGGTGCAGGAACGAATAATGCGCGTCTCGCTCAGATGCTAAGACAGCTTGCTGGGTATTACCAGAAAGAGCCGGATTCGCTGTTCATGGTCCGCATTGCACAGGGCTTGGTGCATATGGGCAAAGGAACGATTGGGCTCAATCCGTTCTTCTCTGACCGGAGTATCATGAGCCGACCGGCGGTGGCGGGTCTGTTGGCCACTCTGACGGCGTTCATGGATACGAAAGCTTGTAAGTGTTACCTGACTAAAAAAATTATTTGGTGATCCTGATTTTAACCTCTCGTCGTTTAGTCATCCTTGACAAATATCACTGGATGCTGTACCTTCTCACCCCCGCCATGTACCCTCGATTCCTTATCACGCTGGATGAAAACCTCGAGAACAAGCCGGTCACTGTCCGCGTCGGCCAGGTTCGTTTTTTTTTCAGGTTCACTGCTGTCTCTTCGTATAATATACTGACCAATGTGACAGGCCATCGACGTTGTGGGTCAAGCAGGAAAGCCCAGGACGATATCTGGCTTCCAAACTCACCAGTCTCCTGTGCGGTTGGGAACGACGGAACGCGCAGAGCTCGCGACAGAAGAATACATCCCATTCAGTCACGTTCTCGAAGGGTTTGTGGTGCTGCAGAAAAATCCTGGATGGGAAAAAGAGGATAAGATGGAACTGTAGTAGATGCAAGTAGACGCGTACGGGAACAATTTTTTTGTCTGTTGGCTTCTGTGGGGGGCCGTATTTAATATAAATTTTCTTTTTTGTCTCGACAGACGTCTGGTTGGGGAGCTATTCTCCTGTACATATCAGTAAATATTACTACAAGGAAGGGGAAAGATGGAAAAGCGGGACAAATCAAACAAATGGGAGGGAATGTAGAAATTCAGAGGAAGGCGAGATTGGATACGAAAATTCAAAGCGCCCACAATCGATCGTTTAGGGAGGCGGTATTTGCCGGGCAGTGGGCAAACCGTCATGATCAGATGGTGACCCACATTTCTTGTTGTCCTTCAAACCTGTCTTCCCCCGAACGCACGCCGTAATTCTCATGCGTTCTACCCTTATACTTCCACTCGAAATCGAGGAAATTATCCTCAATTTCCTCGCCGAAGACGACAACAATCATTCAGCACTCAAAGCGTGTTCTCTTGTCTGCCAGGCATTTCTTCCTATATGCAGGAAACATATCTTTGGAAGCATCGTCATCAATGATACCTCGCACCGCCCGGTACCTGCTGCTTCAACTTATGCCTTTCAACGCCTTCTTCGCGACAGTCCTGAAATCACAGATTACATTCGCAAATTGGATTACACCTTTGAATTCGAGCTCTTTGAATCTGGGGTTCTTGGCCCCGGTTACTCCGATAGCCCACCGTATCAAGAATCTCTGGAACAAATTTCTAGGCTGGAATTCCTTACAGTCCGGAATGGTAATTGGGCGAAATTCGACTGGAACAACAACCCAATTCGTCCAGCCTTGCTTCACCTCTTGCATCTTCCTACCCTTAGCCACCTCAATGTGACCAGTTTCAACAACTTCATGTTATCGGACCTTATCCCCTGCGTTAACCTCAAATACTTGCATATCTGCCTTCATACGACTGGGGCGGCTGAAACTACGTTTCCTTCGCCAAGTTTGCCTGAGCACCCACCAATCCAATTGAAAGAATTCATAACGGATTCGAGAACTGGGGATGTTGTCACGCAGATTTTTGCCGCTCGACGTACCGATGGACAACGGCTCATCGATTTCGGGTCTCTGGCCAAGATAACAATGAATATCGACCGACTCAATATTTGCCAGACTTCACAGGAGTTGTTCCAGGGTTGTCAAAGTCTCATCCACGTTAACATATCTTGTAAGTGATATCTTCTTGA